AGTTAAGAATTGCTAAGTGTAAATGCTATGTTGAGTGGAATTTCTTGTTTTATATGTTGTTGTTAATTGGGGTACTAGTCTTGAGTCTATTCTTTCCCTTTAAAAGATTTTTACTGTCATTCGGGAATGAATGTTCGTAAGGGGGGGGGGGGATAATGTAACAGTCCAAAAGTCGAATGCCTAATCTTGAGTCTCACAAAAGTTTCTAGGAGTTGTAAAACTGTTTTAATGTCAAATATAATGTATATAGTTCATTGAGAAAGTTTTAGAGTCAAAACGTCAAGGAACGTCCATGACATCCGGAGACTAGTTCAAAAGGTGTTAGTGTGCCTTAGCCTATTTTACAAGGGTTTAGTAGTCAGAATTTAATGAAATTTTGTGGTAAGGTGTCTATCATGTACTCCCTTTTTTCTGTATTGTTTGTCTGAGAGGCACAACTTATTCATATGATATCGAAATCACACAAACTAAGCGGCGTTATAAAGATCATTTAAAGAACCTTCCACCCATATCCAGAAGAGCTTCTAACTCATCCTGAGTTAGAAGTTACAGTTCTTTGAAAATGACCAAAAGTCATTCTCTTAACTTAGAAGTTTTTTCCATATTTTCTTTTTTCTTTCCAAAAGTATTATTTTTAGTTTCTTAACTTATTTTTAACTATTTCAAGTTGTGAGTTAATTAAATAATGACATGATGCATATATATATATATATATATATATATATATACATATAATAATAATAATAATAATAGTAATAATAATTTAATAAAACATTGTGAATAAAAACCTATTTTAAAACTATTGATTATTTACTTTTAAAAACCTTATAATAAAGAATAAAAAGAACAAAAAATCTCCAACACCTTTATTTTCCTCGTCCACCATTTCCATCTTTTATCGTTTCAACATATCCTCCTCCTCGAACCTGTATTACCTTGATACCTTCTTCTGAAAATTTCAAGATTATTGTTACTACCTTTCTTCAAATCTACCTATAATCAATTTAGGTCATAAGCAAATAGCCATAATCTAGCTATCATCCAACTATCATATCTTTGATCGTTCTAATTCATCATTGCTACTAGAAATTTGGTCTACTGCCACGGTTCACCTATCGTTGCAATTGACGTTACTACCGTAGCCATTGGTCTAAGGCTAGCGGTTACACCAACCGCTACAACAGATCGCGTAGCAATAGAGCTGTTGCTACGGATCTGTGCTACAGTTCATATAACCGTAGCCATACATTGACCTATTGCTACGGTTATCATTTGAATTAATTGCCAACGGTTATGTATGTATTGGTACAGTTTTTAACCGTCGTAATAGAAGTTTATGCATCAGTTCTTTTAAGGCTATGGCTACAGTTTTTTTCGACTCAACACACCATTTCACTCAATTGCGACGGTTGTTATAGGGATATTGCAACACTTTTAAACAATTGTAGAACTGTTGCTTAATGACTATTGCAACGGTTATTACCTGCTATTTGCAACAATTCTAATGCAATATTAGTAAGCTATATATACCTGCTATATACTAAATCATCCATGAGAATAAATTTTATAACATGAAAATACACATAAATCGTTAACGAGAATAAATGTTGATTACCTTAATTAAAATTCAAGATCCGTGATTCTAATATCAATTAAAGCAAAATCCACAAATCATTTTATAGCATTCAAAAAAGGTGAAACACATTCCATAGAATTTTCAGTCTTCAAAAATATATGATTTCTAGAACATCAATAAAGTTTACATCAATATATACTTCAGCTCCTATGTCAAGTCTTCACTATTGCTTTCATTGCCTTCTTCGATTTCGTCACCTACATACAATCATAAACAAATATAAATAATTTAGGAAACCTCAAATCTTGAAAATTAACAAGTATACATGTAGTTACAACCTGCAGGCATTAGCTTTTAGAATTGTTCAACCCTCAAACATGGAAATCAAGTACATGCCAATCAAGTTTCCAACACTAAAAAGATAAAAGGTGGAAGAGAGAATAGATTACTTCCAATCTGAATCCTCCAATGAATCATCACTTTCAAGTATCAGATGAAGAAGATGGATCAGAAGAAGAAGAGGAGGAGGAAGAGGAAGTTTTTAAAGAAAATGACATTGGAAACATCAAAGTCACTACCAAAACCAGCAGATGCCACAGTCACTCTGCAAAAAGCCAGAAAAATGGGCTAATTTCACAGTAAGCAAACAAGAATTGAACAAAGGGACAAGAAGAATGAAGCAAAAGAGAGCTAAAACAGATGTTATAGAAGGCCATGGAGGCCGAACTATTCGAGCCACGGGAAGGAAATACAGACACAGTAAGGTTTCAACTGCAAAAGGTCCGAAGGATCGACGAGTTAGGCTTTCACCAAACGCTGCAATTCAGTTCTATGATGTGCAAGATAGGCTTGGGTATGACCGTCCAAGTAAGGCTATTGATTGGCTGATTAAAGAAGCTAAAGCTGCAATTGATGCTCTTTGTGAGTTCCCTAATAATTTTCACTCTTCTAAACTAAATCCCAAAAAAATGCAGTATTCATTTGATCAAGAACAGTGTCCAGAATTTAGCCAAGAAAACAGAGGTGTTCCCAATTCTGAATGTGGAGTTCAAGACAAACAGCAAGAGGTGAATTATCACATCCCAATCTTGTTTTCACTCTACTAGCTGCGCGCATTCAAACTTCTACAAGCAGCAGCAGAAACAAGAGACCAGACTACATGCAGTAATTAGCTACTACGTTGGCTCGACTAAGCATAATCGTGAAGCTAGGATTCAACATTATGTATAATGCTACAAGAAAGCAGCAGCAGAAACAAGAGAGCAGCTGCAGAAACAAGATAGACCAGCAGCAGAAACAAGAGAGCAGCTGCAGAAACAAGATAGGCCAGCAGCAAAAAGAAGACAGCAGCTGCAGAAACAAGATAGTCCAGCAGCAGAAACAAGAGTCTAGACTACAAGCAGTAGAAACAACACTATCATGCTACAAGACACATGTTTAATTAACATAAACAAGAAACCAGACTACATGCAGTAATTAGCTATTCCATTCTAATCCTATAGCAAGTAGCAACAACAAATACCAATCAAAACATAGAATTAGCGACACCAACAATGTTTAGCCACTTGAACAGAAGTAGATTCTCTTGGTGAAGGAGTCGACAATGCTGCCAATATGTTAGGATCAATTAATCCCGCATGCTTAAGTTGTGCAATAACATCTGCAATAACTTCTTGTCGCACAATTTTCTTTTGTTCCTCCATTTGTTTCTCCATTTTCTGCATCCTCTCTTGCATTTCCTGCATTCCATCAGTTGTTGCACTTAAAGTTTATTCCCAATTGCCAACTTTTTTTTTCATAGTAGTCCTTGTAACTCCTGCGCCATATAGTCTTAGACGTCCCGGATGTTCAGGACCCATGACGCTTGAAAATGCATCAACATACTCACCATTTATGCTTATTTGTTTTTTAATTTTCTCCATTTTAGCCTACCAAAGTATATCCAACAAATACAATCTTATGAAATAAATAATTGATCTCAACAAAAAAAATTAAAATAGATAGGCACATACAATTTAACTAGTAGTGTCTTCATTTGAGGCCTTGTACGATCGCCCAGGTTTTCTTGTTCTTGTAACCACAAAGATATCCTTAGATGATACTGTCTCCTTATCTTTCTCCTAGTCGAATTGAAATATATATAAAAACCAAACTCACATTGGAAGAGATCCAAAAAATAATTTCATTAAAAAATAATATATCAGAGAACTCACCAGCTTATTACGAACTAAAGCGAAATTCTTTTTGCCAGCAGTGTGTGGATTGATCAAATTTTTTTGGATTCTTTGCATTTCTTTCAGACATTTTCTGCAAAGAAATGAATCAGTAATGTTAATCGAAGGTATATTAGTGTTATATAGTGTACTAGACGAGGTCAATATTAGTCTGTCTTTCCTTTATAACAATCTGTCAATATTAATACAAATGCTACTTATTAAAAAAATTGATATTCTGAACTACATTTTTACCTTGAATTTTTCAGAATTCCAATATTTGAGTAGCTCTCTAAATTGACATTCTGGAATATGACCAGGCTTTTTTGCCATTCGAACTGCATCATTTTCATATGGATCGTAATAATTAAGCTTCAAATCACTTCTATGTCTTCTCCAAGCATCTCGAATTGTTACCATAGACCAATGGTACGCAGCTTCAGGAATAATATATTTCCCCTATAATTTTGTGTCATTCAATTAGCCAATAGAAGTAAAATACTTTTACAAATAATTTATTATTGTAAACTACAAACCTTAGTATAATCCCATAAAACCTTTTTAGTGTCCATGCTCCTCCAATCCAATATATCAAATGGGCAAAGAGTCGCATTTCTAGCCAATGTTCTTAGGAAGCTACTTAGCTCTATGACAACATCATCCGTAGGACCAACAGGTTGATTTTGACTATTCAGTATGATCAACTTACGTTCTTTTCGGGCATGAACATCATGCATTTGCGTTCTACTTCTTTTATTTGGACTGGAAAGAACTCCAGATTGTGCCTCAATTTGTTTGTTGCAAATATTCTTCTCTATGTGCATCACATCAAGATTGTGCCTCAATTTGTTTGTTGCCCAATATGGCAACTCAAAAAATATGGATTTTTTCTTCCATGGACAATCATTCTTTCGTTTTCTTTTCTTTTTGTTCTTTCCAAATACATTATTGAATTCACGAAGCTCTTCAAGAATTTGTTCACCTGATAATGGAGTAGGTGCAACATTATGCTCCTCTTTACCATTAAATGATCTTTTATCTCTTCTGAATGGATGATCAGGAGGTAAAAACGTCTGATGACCCAAGTAACACATCTTGCGACTATGTTTGAGATATTGGGAACAGGTATTATGGTTACAAGTGGGGCATGCCCATCTCCCCTTGGTGCTCCATCCAGAAAGCATTGGTAGAGCTGGAAATTAACTAATTGTCTACAATAAAGCTGCATGCATTAGAAATGTTTGATTAGTTACAGCATCATATGTTTCAACTCTTACTTCCCATAGTTCCTTCAACTCCGCAATCAGTGGTTGCAAGTATACATCTATATCATTTCCCGGAGACGATGGACCTGGAATAATCATTGATAACATAATATTCTCCGACTTCATGCAAATCCATGGAGATAAATTATAGTTCATCAACATAACTGGCCATGTGCTATGGGAAATGCTCATAGCTCTGAATGGATTGAAACCATCACTTGAAAGACCCAATCTAACATTACGAGCATCATTAGCAAAGTTAGGATCCAATGAATCAAAATCCTTCCAAGCTTCACCATCTGCAGGATGTCTTAAATTTCCATCTTTAAGTCTTTCAGTATCATGCCATCTCATAGCTACAGATGTTTCAGAACACATGAATATCCTCTGAAGTCTAGGCTTTAAAGGAAAGTACCTTAAAACCTTCAGTGGGATTTTCGTAACCTTATTATTTAAGTCATTCCGAACATTCTTCCATCTTGAAGCTCCACACACAGAGCAATTATCTAACTTTGCATTGTCATTCCAAAATAATATGCAATCAATAGTGCAAGCATGTATTTTCTCATAATGAAGACCCAAATCTTTTATGACCTTTTTTGCCTTGTAAAACGAGTCGGGTATCTGAGCCAATGGAAATGCCTCTCTTATCAAGTCCAATAAATCTGAAAAGGCCACATCAGTAAACTTGTGAATGCATTTAAACAAGTATAGCCGGATGGTAAAACTCAACATAGAAAAATTCTTACATCCTGGATACAACTCTTCTTTCCCTTCCTCCACTAATTTAAAAAATCTCTTTGCATATCCATGTGGCCCCTCCCTCACTCCTTCATCTCTCTGATCATCTACAATATTTCTAAAAGTATCATGAAGTAATCTATCAATGTCGTCATGCATGTTAGAAGTTTCTTCTTCATCGGTTGGATGTGGCGTATTTCTTGAGGAAAATCCTTCACCATGAAAAACCCATTTGGTGTATCCATGAACAAATCCATGGCAAATCAAATGATCCTCTACCATATTTCGGCAATGCCAATTACGATTAAAGCACTTCTTACAAGGACACAATATTTCATTTCCTTGGGAAGCTCGTTCAAATGCTTTATCAAGAAAATCATTAACTCCATGAATATATTCATTGGTGGATCTTCGGAGATTCATCCAACTTTTATCTCCAAAATCCATTGAATATTTATCCTACATTACATGTGCAAAACATTAAAGCCAATAAATTCATGCGTACAAATAATATCGAAAGAACTTAACAACTCGAACTTTTAGATTAATCGAATCGCAAACCTTCACATCAATTCAACAACAAACATTTACAACACTAATAGTAGAACCAAAAAATATTGACAAGTTAAGTTATTAGCAGCTTCCACCATTTAATAAACTTTATACAAATTAATGACTAAAGGCACACGTAAAAAAAATTTCAAAGCAATAAAGACAGACCTAGATTAGAGTAAATAACATACATTATAGCAATAGACTGCAACAAGCAAACAAAATAACTATCAATACATTAGTTTTGATTCTAGCAAAACAGTTCATGTATTTGTAAAATAATAACAGAGTATTCACATGGAAAAAGTAGTTCAAACAAACTATAAAAAATCATATTCTCTTTATAAAAAAACACAAGGGAGTTAGTTGGTCAATCTAACAACTACCATATAGCAGAAAATTTCTATTACTTTCAATTTCTTACCAATCAGCCTTCTCGGGTTCAAAATGAACTACTTCAAAAATCCTCAAGTGTTACCTTTGGGTCTGTTTCAGTCAAGCCTATAAATAACATAATCACACAATATTAGTAGGAAACCAAGCCAAAGAGAGCGAAAAATATAAGAGATACAAGTCCAAGATAAGTAGCTTAGCTTAGAAAACTCCATCAAAAAAATCCTTTTTTTTAATCAAACATACAAAATAAAACAGTGGCACAATGACTCTATTGTTACTAACAAATATTTTTTGACAGAAACAGGATGTAATATCACTGGCCTCTTGCTTTGACTAATTAAAGAAAATGCAATTATGTATTTGTGTAATTGCGTTTGTACATTTGTTTGCTTGTTAATGGTTGCTTGTTATAAGACAATGAATGAGTCTGTTTTGCTTTTAAAGTCAGGCCACCCAAATTAATTAAAAGGTGGTCAAGATAAGTAAAAAAGATATTTATATATGTGACAAGTGTTAATTTCTTGCTGAAATACTTGTTGGTTTGAACTATCTATCTCTATATTCCATGTATATATAACAGTGGCACAATGGATACAATATTTTATGAAGCACAAAGACAAGGACTATATTCTTTCTATGTTACACTGTTGAATCAAACAATTATCGTCTAGCTAAGTAAATCAAATGGTGGAGAAGAGAAAGAGACTCTGTAAGCAGATTTAGGGAATGGATTGAAAGAGAAGACTGATTGATCTCTCAGTTTGAGTAAGAACTTCGCAGTAATATCAGCATGGAGTTATGTCAGGCCATTCAAGTTGCAAAAAAAACAAGAGAAGCCCCCAAATTGCAGCATATCATTAAGCTCATACAAGCCATAGTTATATGGAAACTTTGGAAGAGAAGGAATGCTTAAAGACATGTTAAAAAGGTCTCTTTTTAATAAAATGTACATTCACTGTCAATATAATATGAATTGTGCAAGCAGTTAAAAACTTGAAAAACAAATTCAAGTTCCACACATTTCTATTAATGACACACAAATTCCTAAGACTAACACAATTATAGCCAGTTTAAATTATAGACACTGCATCCAAATAAAACACAACGAACATGTAAAGTGAGAAGTAAATCATACAAATCAAATCAATTTGTTCTTCGTGAATGATCAAAACAATACCGCAAAATGCACAAATCCACACAATGTCATTAACTTTAACGAATAAATAGGGCATTATGTGTCACAGTTTATGCTGGCAGTGACTTATAAGGGAAGATAACATTCAATCGAACAAGAAAAAGACATAGACAATATCAGAATCCGAATGTATTTCAAAGTAAAACGATACTGATACTCAAGTTTAAACATCTCTTAATAATCAAAAACAAAGTTGAAGATAACATTTGCGACTTGTGTTGTAACTTTCTCTAGATTAGCCTATCATGTACTTTCAGGAATCCACCTTAAGGAAAAATAAGGTGTAACAGAAAAGCAATTACATTACTTATTTTCGTTTGCTTGTCATGTCTAGCTATAGTGTAGTCTCTTGTCTCTCTTTAATTTCTCTCGTCTGATTGCCTATGGTTCCTATGAATGAGTATAACAATATATTCTTTCAAATTATACAGACTTCACCCATGATTCATGTCTTCCCTTTTTAAAATGAGAGGAATATGAACTTCATATACTGATTAGCGAGATTGAGTCCAAAAACTATATAGTTTTGTCATCTTTGTCCTTGTGAAACTGATCCGCCATACTTCAACTGCGTGAATTCTAGTAGCACTAACTTGCATCACCCAGTTGCACTCCAATATATTGCTATTCATTAACCTGGTTTATCGTTATATTTGTCTCATAAGCATCAAAACTGAAATACTTGATATTATGAAAAAATCTGAGTTCATATTTGTCAATCCAAATGCAACTGGACAATGTGGTTGTGGAGAATCTTTCATGACAACAACTAGCTCAGAAGCTGCTAAGTTGCGCGGCAAGTCTAGCTGACATCTTATTATATACTCATATTATGTACGTTAGTCGTTATATATATACACTTACAACTGTGAGTATATACTATATAGTCTATCTGTAGTAATAAATAAACAATGTTAGCAGTCAGAAACAGAAGGTTTTGTTATTTTTTTCTCCTTTTTGCCCAAATCTTATGTACATCAGTTTTTGTAAAGAATAAGATTTTCTTTGCCATGGAAAGGTGAAAGTAGAAAAATATTACATACAGAAAATCAAATGAAAAGCATACTCTGCTGTCTGTATATGCTCGAAATTTTGAACATTACTTTCTTCATTTTTGCTCTCAAATTAAGCCATACCAGACAACAAAAAGTGAAACAAATACCAGTAGGAAGTAATTTGGGAGTAATATTTGTCCACATTCACATCAAATGGGGAATATTAAGGAAGAATTCAGCTGGAACAAAAAAATATGCAGAAAGAAATACTAACAGATCCACAAACTTGGAGCACTAGATTTTGACTCTCTTATATATCACAGAATCAAACAGGGGAAGTTTATGCACTAACTATATTGGAGCAAATAACATAGGTTTAAGACTAACCCATATATTATTCTTTAACATGTTTCAAAATTAATTCAATGGGTACTTAGAAATCATGAACTAGCATAGAAAACTTAAACATTATTAACCTTTAAGATGAATTCGTAGTAGAACTTCAAAAACACCACCAAAAAGAACGAGCTGGTTGTTTTCCCCGACGAGCTTCACCAACAGCTTCACAATCGATCTTCAACAACGAGCTTCAGCAACAGCTTCACCTACGAGCTTCACCAACAACTTCACCGACAGCTCTTCACCAACGAGCTTCACCAACAGCTTCAACAACAAGCTTCACCAACGAGCTTCACCAACAGCTTCACCAACAGCTTCACCAACAAATTTCGTTTTTCTCACCAAAATCTTCAGAAATTCCTTTCACATGCAGCTTCACCCACAAAAATCTCTCTCACATTGCTTTGATGAAATTTCTGAAAAATAAGGGTTGCTAATCCATTTCATTCTTTTTCTTTACATTTTCTAAAAAGTTAATAAATAAGAATTAATTTTTTAGGAGGGACTAATTATATTGGAGGCAAATATTTTTTTTTAGGAGGGAAAAATATTTAGGGCTAAAAAATCAGAATTATTTTTCTAAAAAACCGTTGCCATAGAGTTGTCTATAGAAACGGTTTTAAAACTTGTTGCTATACCTTCTCTATAGGGACGGTTATCGGGATTATTCAACAGTTTATTTTAAGAATTGTTCTATTAGATTCAAGGATATTTGGCCACGGTTATAACCGTTGTAATAGGTTAGCTATTGCTACGATGGTATAACCGTTGCTAAATAAGCGTTGCAGTAAGTCAAATTTCTAGTAGTGTAATTGTTTTCTTCAATCGCCTCCATTATTGGAACTATTCAAATAAAAAATTTGAAAATACTAAAAAAAAATTATTAATGATAAAATCAGATCTATTGATGAATTTATCTATTGATGAATATAGTTAGAGTGGGTTCATCAAAATAGTAAAGGTTAAAGTTTTAAGAAGTAGAAATTAGTATTTCAAAATTTTTATTTTAAAACAAAGACATAAACAAATTAAAGTGAAAATAGACCAATGAACATTTGAAGGATTCGTTAAACTTTCCGACAATAGAACTGTGGAAAAAATAGGTGGATAAATTTGATATTGTGAAGAAGATATATATTGTAGGAATATTTTATTCCTTTCTTAAACAATTTTTGTTGATATATAACATTAATTAAATATTACATATTAAGAAATGACAAAAGAGGATAAAGTTGAATATACAATGGTGGCAAGGTAGTGGTAGATGGTTGAGGAAGTGTGGGACGGAGAGAGAAGGAAGAAGAAGAAATAAATAAATAAATCACTAAACATATGCCTTTCACGTGCTCAAAGTGTGTGCTGCACACTGAATATGCCAATTTAGCGAAAAATGTCAAAATTATCATAACAGGACCCTATTTAAAGTGTTTAAAATGAACATCGCGCAGTTGATGTGTCTAAGTGAAATTTGATGGCAACTTTAGGGGGTCACCGGTGGGTTAGACCAATAAATAATATAAGAATATGTGTAGTGATAGGCAACAAAAATTATAATAACATCAAAATATATTTTCATTACAATACTAATCCATGCTCATATGAAGTAAATAGAGTTACAAATGAAGCAAAAACACTACATTAAAATATTTAAAAAGGATATGAAATGCGAAAAAATTACAAATTAATTATAGCAATGTCGAATGGAGTTCCTAATTCAGTTATGCATATCAAAAACTGTGTTACACCAACAAAAGGAATATTTTTTCAAAACAATTCTTCTTTCTAAATTATAATCTGAAAAATCATGTTACATTTTTTTGCGAATTGGCAGTACTTAATACGAATTTATACAAATGAATTGTGGCAATTCAATTATGTTGGCAACACAAAATGTAGAAAATAAATCTTAA